AAATAATCCATTTTCTAATTTTTTTTTCCTTCTACCATGGACACCATCCATTCCACAAAAAAACACTTTTACAAATATTTGGGAGTACTCAGAGTCTAATTTTTGGTAACAAGTTATTTATTAATGATCCTATTTTCTAATAAAACTGTTATTTCATCACATCTGCCTTCACCTGATTTATACAGCTGTGAAATAAGAAGCAAGTCCTGAAAGGTGTTTTTATTTCCCCCAGAATATCGAGTAGCTCTTTACAGCAACAATTGATATAAAAGTCATAATCACCAAGGACCAGACTACAGGAATATTCATGCAACTCAAAAGTCTCCATTTCAGTACTTTTGGGGGTTATTTTTGTGATGTGAACTGGATAATCTAGAGTTATTTGTTTGGTTGTTCCAAGGGCCTGTCAAGCATAATGTAATGAACATTTCTGCTTGGATGACTTAGATGTAACCTTTTCCATGGCTTTCCTTTTGGTGATTTGTTTTGTTCTTTCTTACCTATATTCACCAGCAGTGTTCAGATGTAGGGTCCTATAAAACTTACTGTAACAAAAGATGACAAAGAGGAGGAAATTTCTAAAATACAACTAAATCACAAAGTGAGTTTGTTTAGGAAGTTGCTGGACATTCTTCCATTTGAATTTTTTTTTTCCCGTAACAGCTATTCAGCTGTGCTTTTAATTTTATTTTTCACCTTTGCCTTTTGCGTGTTCATTGACATGGGAGCTGCATGTATAGCTGATGCATTCACAACCAATTTCTCCAGGTTTCCTGTACAGCTACATACAGCTCAGCATGCTTTCTTCAAGCACATGCTTTTTTTGAACAGTGCAATTCTGTGCAGACTCAACTGCTGTCCCTGTAGCTCTCAGTTTCTCTCCCCCTTACCCTTCTTAAAAGTTGGAGTCGTCAGATATTAAATTAGTCCCACCATTTATAAAGGGGTTTGCTCATGTTGCTTAAGATGTAGTCAGGGTGGCGTAGGCTATTGTATTAAATAGTTTTAAGTTTCCTTGGTCTAACGTCAAGATTCCACTGTGTATTAATAACCAATATTAGAATAAGAGGACACAGAAAAGGTATATTTTCCTTTATTGTTTATTATAATACAAGAAAAACAAATCTAGAAAGCACGTTTCATGGAGCACCATATTGTAACAAAATTTTGCTGGCTCTCCTACAAAGTGTATTTTTGACATTTAAACAATGACACACACATAGTCAGTACACACAGGCATCTACACCCTGGCAATCTTATTAACGGCCCCAAAGAGACCCCTCTTTCAAATACAGAAACACTAAGGTGCACAGAGGAATGCCAGTGTGAGGGCATCTGAACGCCAACTGAGTTAATTACTCTTTTGTTAGCGATCTTCATAAGCACACAAGCCTTCATTGTCTCACCCCAGTCTCTCTTCTCTGAAGCCTCCAAATTGGGCCCAAAGGTCACTGAATATGGATCCAGCACAGACATGGTGTAGTTGAACAAAACTGGCCAATATTCCCTACCTGATACCTCTTATTGCTTTGGTTATAGTACTGAATGAAAGTCTTAAAAACCCTTAAACCTACACTCCACATCACAGAAAAGCCACTTTCACACATACAGAAACATAACCTCCCTCCCCACATACACCTGAACGCATAGCATTGATACCTTTTTGAGAAGCTTTGTGGGTTTCCCCACCAAGATCACCTTCACAAAAATGATTGCATTTTGTTTTTCAAAGTGTTCAGACAGTTGTTCAACAATGTATTTCATAATGTATTTCTCTCTTTTTAATAGATAGGACATGTTTTCCTGCTGTCTTAAATTTATGTCATTGTCTACATAAGCAAGAACAAAATGCTATTGTTTTCATCTGTACAAAATGTTTTACATTCATTTTATACAGTGCTAAATAATGATGCTAAGCACAGAACAATGTAGAATGATAGCCCAGAATAGCGTTTTACCTTGCTCAAAATGAAAAAGTACTGGAAGTTTCCCATACTAATGTCGAGACACAGTATTGGGGTCTCTATTATATACAGTAGCCTTCCAGAATACTTTCAGGCACCTATTTTGTGAGCTATTGCTCAATATGTACGTCACACTGAAGCACCTCAAGTAACATGATTTAGTGCCCTCAAACAGTGAGAATAAGAGACAAAAGCAAATCCAGCCTTACAGCAGACTAGACCAATCCTGAAGTATGATGCTAGCAAGGTAGCAAAATTTCTGCCTGGACCCAAAACCACCCACTGTTACAATAATTTTGGGTATCTGACATATGACCGCTTCTATCATTAACTGAGGACAATGCATGAAGTTTAATTTAAAACATTTTCTATAAAATGTTTTAATTTTGTCAACAAAAAAAATGAAGAGCTTGTATTTCTATCAGCCACTTACAAAAGATATTTTTTCCTCTAAGCCCATTTCTCTTTGAAATACTTTCCCTGCTTTCTGACCACAAATTTTCTGGGGAAATTTAAGGATTTGCAAAATGTATTTCTGTCTTGATAATCAGTGAAGCTGAACTATCTCTCAGTTTTAGGCAGGGTAATGCATTCATGTTGCCAAGAAAGAAATAAAGTTATTGTGTATTTTTTCTTGTGGAAAATCCTTGTGGATTTCCCATTTACAGGAGCCAATTTTGTAATTCCTTTATACTATGTGATGAACAGGCATCTATGAATAACAAGAAAAAATAATGGAAATTCAAAAGGAGAAAATGGACTTGAAAAATAACTGTAACTTTAGATATGCAAAGGGGTATTAACTAACTGAATTACTAACTCAGACTCTCTCCTCCAAGCTAAAGGTATGTTTCAACAGCTGTGCTAAACATTTGGCTAGCATTTCCCGGATAAACAGTTCAGACTTCAACTGTATGATGGGGAAAAGAGAGAAAGAAAAGACTTACTAGTTTAAATTTTACAAAGGCTATGGAGTTGCTGTGGATTAATAAAGTTTCAGATGACTGAAGAATAGGATATAATAAGGAAAAGATGTTGTGCTGGGTATATCAATACACATTTTCACTTGGAGTAACATCTGCAGCTTTACTCACCTGAGTAAAAGGACAGTGTAGCAAAAACAAAGGAGATTCAGAGACAGGCAAAGAGTATGGACCTGTATAAGAATGTGAATTATTGTTTGGCTTAAGAAACAAAAAATAGGTATGTAAATTTCTATATAGAGTATATAATCACTGACATACAGAAGAAAAATTGGGATCACTCCTGTTTATACTGTTTTAGCATACAAGAGCAAGAGATGAGAATGACATTGAAAAGCAGCCAATTTAAATTAAAAAAAAAAAAATCTGTTTTTATTTGTTTTTCTTTGTTCTTAAACATGATGGTTTTTGATTTTCATATTCCCCACCTCAAGAAATATTTAGATCTCAAAACTCAGGATCAGCCTCTCATAGGGATGATGAGACATCAACAATCACATTAGACAAGACAAAAATAATAAGGGCTGAAACTAATGAAAGTTCCAGAATAAATTATTGCACCTTCCCCTGAAACATCTGATACAGTCAGAGGTAGGACACCGGATTAAATAAACCACGTAGTTTGGCTATGTTACTGTTTCTATGGCATTAGGTTTAAAAATTTCAGTTATATATCCCAGTTAGTCATGAAAATGTGTAACAATCTTCCACACTGAGCAATGAGTTACAGAAACATTAATGAATGAGAAGACAGAATAAGTATTATTATTGGTCATAGACACCACTTATGTGTGCATGCATACGTATATACATACTTTAAAATATGATATACATATCTATGCATACATAAATGCATACATACATACACACATACACAGACACACATGCCTTCTGGGAAGCGGGGCTCACCAGAAGGTCTGAAGACCATTCTTTACACCCTTCTCTGATACACATTACCAAATTGTGTAAGTATGTGTGTGTATATGTTTAACAGTGTGTGGAGGAAAATGTGAGAAGGAAGGGAAGCATGAACCTGAATATGGGAGAAATCATTCATGTTACTGTTGCTATTTCAGATCTGTGCTTGAAAACACATTTCCAAATGCCTTGTACATTGGCTAAGTTTACCAACAGCCAAGCAAGAAGAAATACACAATATTAAAGGGGCATTGTGAAAATGAAAATATTTATGTATGCATTTTCTGTTCTTTCCTGTGGTAGTGTTAATACATCATATTCCTGACAACTGGCAGGATGAGAAATTAAAAGAACTAATTTGATTTTTGCCACTTACCCTGTTTATCTGTTTCATGTTTCTGCCAAAGTTGAGAGAAAACTTGGGTAGTCCATCTCCCTATGGGTTTTCATTTATCAGCTCTAATGGGTTAGCTCATTGTAAACTTGCCTTTTCATCAGGCTTGATTAAATCATTTTAGGTTTAGAACTTAATGTATACTCTAAGTTGACAGTATCTCTTTAAACATAATTAATAATTCCTCAGACCCATTCATATGAAAATTCTGCCATCTTTTACACTTATTCACATGAATTCACACTATTTATCCTCCTTGTTTCTCTGGGAAGGCTTTTGAGAACACGACTATCACCTCATCTGATAGCAGAACTGCAGCTAATCAATTCTGAGGCTGCAAACAACTTAACTTCCAGACAAACTAACGTAGCTACAAACTAGTTGCAGATATCTAACATAGCAAAAATCAACATGACTAGATTTAACAGGGTAAATGACAGGACAGGTTTCCGTTTCAATGAGGTAAAGTTGTGTATAAGTTCCCTCATCCCCAAAATACATCTGTAAGGTCATTATCTCAAATAAAAATAAAAGAGAGAAATAAGTTATTTTTTAAAAAGCTAAAAATGAAACTACCTTTAATCCTATTGCTAGACAGAAAGAGATCGAGGCGGGTAAAGAAACAGAAAAGAGAACCAAGGAATATTGATAAATGTGTGTTGTCAGCTCTGAGAACCAAGGGTTGGTTGGCATCAGCTGAGTTTTGTCTCGTGATGCACGCTTACTCAGCAGGCACAGGCCTGCATACTGTATACAAATATATAGATAGAGTTACGTAGTTAATATGCTGTGCAGAGGCATCCCTAGAGAGTACAAACACCAGCACACAATGTTTCATCTTGATCTGAGCAGCCAATCTGCCTGCACGATGCATTGCATGGTGGTTCCTGTAGTCTCTGAACAATAAAATCTCTAGGAGAGAGGACAATTGCCACACTCCCCTGCATTTCTATGCAAAGTAATTGCAAGCCCCCTGGCTCCTCCCAGGTCACTTGCATTGGCCACAGGAGGGTAAAGAAGCGTTTCTGATGAAATGCACGACATTGCCTTTCCATGGATTAACTTCCAAGCAGCAATGCTTCTGGCTCACCCCAGGGCCGACACTTCATGAGATGGGTTCCTGGGGTACAGGTATTATCTCACCACTCTTCCTGCTTGCCAGCAGCACCTTTTCGCAGAAGCCTCTTTACCTCTTCTGTCCCATAGCAAGCACAGGAGTGGGATTTTTTTCATACAATAATGTTTCTGTGGAGTTAGTTTTTTGTTGTGTTTTTTTTTTCTTTTCCTAGTTAACGTTCATTTGACCTTGTTATCAAATGTGTTCTCCTGCAATCATCTGAAAGACCTTATTCAAACCAGCATATGTTTTGTTTTTTTTTTCCCTTTTACATCACCTTAAAGGGACGCATCTGTTGACATAGGTTCTGTAGAGAATGGATTTCATCTTTTGCTGAAGTTTTGTTCCAGCCAAAGCCGAACCTCCTGCAGATTGTAGAAAAAGGGGCCTTTGCCTCCCAGGTAGGCGATTTTTTGTCTCTGCACAATGCATACTCGCTCAAATGAAACCCCGTAGGCCACATTGGCATTGTTGTCCATGCAGTCAGCCACCACTTGGCACTGAGGTGGCAAGGAAAAGCGCTCTAGGAGCTGGTGAGCAGCTGCGCATCGGTCTTCCTGGTTCCTGTGTTTCTTAACTTCAAATGAAGAAGGAGAGATTCCAGGGGCAGCCCAGCCATCTGACGGGTGAGCCTCATCGATGTAGACCAACAGAAAGTCAGCCACACCAGAGAACTCCTCCACCAGCTTGCTGAAGGCTGACAGCTGGCTTGTGAACGGTGGTCAGGTAGCTGAGCCAAAGTTGACCACCAGTGGCCGCTCGGAGTTGGCAAAATCCAGAAGGTGGCATTTGGTTCCACACTTGCCACCGACACTCTTCCAGCTGCTACTGCTGCCATCACTGCCCTTGGCTATGTGGATTACACTGGAGTTTGGGGCTTCTCCTCCCAGTTTGACCTGACAGCAAAACAAATTAAAACATAGCAAGTTAGTGTGACTTGCTTGTCCAGTATCCTTATGACTACTCTCTTCAAATAAATAGAGTGGCCTGTTCAAAGAGTACACCTAACTACCTGCATGGACACTAGCATGGGGAGTGCAATAGCAAATCATCAAAAGCAGCAGCTTCAAAAAGTTCATCTAGTCCATCTCCACTCACAGTGCATGGAAATGTGGCGTTCCTGACAGATATACTACTTCATTATTATTAGAAAATTTGATCTGAGATCTGTCTTGTCCTATCCACTACACACATAGTCCTGTCCACTCTCATGTATTTGGAGACTCTTATCTGCTTTCAGACGGACTACCTCCAATTTCTTTGAACTTTTCTCTGTGAGCCAAATTTTCTAGACATGATTTTTTTTCACTGCCATCCTCTGAGTTCTGTCCACTTGGTTCACATCTTCCTTGAAGAGCAGTGTTTGAAACTTCAAAAGAGTTTTTACTAATGCTCAGAATAATCAGACAATTACTTCACGTATCTCACAGGCTACACCTGTTTATACATTCCAGATATTTGCTTTTTTACAAAACTTCATGACTGTTTTGGAAAAACAGTAGATTGTTGACTAGGGGTTAACTAGTGAGAAGTTATAACACCTAGATCCTTTTTTCTGCCTTTCTAGTTGCTCCCCATCATGGATTTGGGTACTTCATCAGTCCAGCCTGAATTTGGTGCTTTGCACTTGACCCCATTGAACTGCATCCTACATTTCAAGCCATTTTTTCCAATTCTCCAGACTCATTCTGCATTGTATTCCTGATCTTCACAACACATGCAGTGCCTCTCAGTTTTGAGAGGTTTGCAGATTTCATACATGTATATTCTCTTCCATCCCGCAGTCCAAGAATGAAAATACTCAGAGTACCAAACACAAGAGAGATCTCTCCAGACACCCACTCAATAAATCATTCTGTTTTGAGAGTGGACCATCCAAGAGTGCTCTCTCCAAAGGGTTTTCTAACCACTTTGCAGTAATTTCATCAGTCATTGAGTGACGCATTTCCTACTACTGCAATGTTTCTCTAGAAGACGATTAGGGAAAAAGCAGCAGGAAAATGGGAAAGTTTATACGATGGTTGAAGTAGGATGAAGTGAAAACAAACTGTTCTCAGCTCTAACCCCAGATCTAACTCAGACCCAACAGGCAATTGTGGAAAAGTCATTTTGCCTGACCGTTTCTATTTCCCTGCCTATAGAAAAAAGACAGAATATAAGCATCTCACAGAAGGGACTGCCAGAATAAGGTGGAGCCTGCAGAGGGCTCCAAGATCCTCAGCTGATAACTGTTATAGAACCACAAAATATTATTACATAAGACAATTAGTTTTTAATGAGCTCTGCCACAGCAATTCCTGTGTATCTGCCTTTAACATCAAGCTCTAGTACAACAATGCAATTATCCTTTTGTATTTCCCTGACTCTTTCTATCTCTGTCTTCTGTCTATTTAATTATGTTCAGAAGTGTTGCTTTGAAGGAAACATACAGGGCCAAATTCTGAAGTCTTTCATATTTTATTTATTTATTTCTGAAGCTACACCCAACTGAAGTCAATAGAAGTTAACGCTGAATAAGAACTGTGTAAAAACTGAGTAAATAACTGATTTTTGGTGCACTTCTAGTCTACATTACATTATAGGGTATGCTGGTGAGTCAGATACAGTAAGAAGCTGAGTTAACAGCTGAATACTTAACTGATGCGATTACTGCTGCACACAGATCCAGAGGCAAGTATATTGTGGATACTGGATCCTCCATTTCTCCCTGAGAAACCTGACTACCTTGAACAAATCTACAGTTATTCACAATTCAGCATTATTTCATCAGAATAGCAATAGAAGCAAGACTAACCAAAGCAAAGTTTGTAAGACACTGCCCTTAAAGCTACCAGACTTCACAGCTACATGAGAAGGTCTCACAGCATGTTGGCACATGATATAAACATCATTTTGACTATTTTCTGTGGGGCAAATTGAGACACAACTATGCCATCATGCACTCAGAGATCAGCAAGTAAGAGAGCCACAGAAAGAAAGACTGCCCGAGACTCATAAATCTCTCCAGGCCAAGCACCTGGTAATCACACCACTGGAAGCAGGGGATGTGCAGCTGTAGCTGCACCATAGGCAAGGGAAGAAAATGATGCCCCAGGAAAGCACAGCCCCTTGTGCCCCCCCCCCCCAAACCTACATCTGCAGCATTGCTATCTGCTAGAGCCCTGGTAGCAGTTAAAAAAAAAAAAGCCTTGTGCTCATTTGTCTTTGAAAGCAAGCAAGGTTTGAAATAGCTGAGTTTAGGACCTGCTGTGTGAGTGGGCTGTCTTTTGGACTCAAGGAAGAAAAAGAGCTGCATCCCAGTTTCTGAGAAGAAAGGATCTATCTGGAGAGAGGCAGGCTCAGAGACTCAGGCTGTAGCATTTAAGAAGTAGCATTAAGCATCTTGCAGTGTTTAAGAAGTGCTACTACAGGCCACCTACACCTTAGCAGGTAGCAGGTATTCTTCTATGCAGCTGTTGAACACCTCATTTCTCTCTGCCATTCTGTGCAGTAAGATAGGCAAAGCAGGAGTGAGTAAGGTAAAGGGCCAGACTTGAGCAAAGAAATACACGGGTCAAGATCATGTGGCAGCCATATAATCATCCCGAGGGCTGCATTCAATCCATAAGCCAGCTAGACAACTCAGCATTTTGTGATAAGTTGGTAACTACCAAAAAAGGGCACATCTCAAGAAACACAACATCTGCACAAACACTAGATCCCTCTTTACCTAGAAAGCTTAACTGTTCTTACACTACCAAGCAAATGCTTTTTCAGAGCTAGCTTGCCCAAAATGTGCCTTTTGGGCAAAGCCTGACATGTAAGTATCTGTGCTGCACCCACTCCCTGGATGAATAATGGACCTCAGTATTTAGGAGTGTGCGCTCATCCAGTCAAAGAAGAGAAGTAATAACATGTGATTTATCTCATAAATCACAATTAAGCAACACACTTTGAATTTCTGATATTTGCTGGCACTCTTCAGAGAAGAAAAATAAAGGTTAAAAGAATAGAAGCAACTAAAACTCAGCAATGAACAGAGCTGCTCAGGAGACAAGAAACATCTGAGCAGCTGTTTCCCCTCACTCTTCTGGTTTTATTTTAATAAAACTATTATGACTGAAAATACTCTAACCAACACTCTTGACCTGGGAAACCACAGTCTGCCTCTTGATCATATTTAAGCAGAAAGCAAGGCTAAGCTCCTCATTACCAACTCTTCACTCAGGTCTACCAAGCCATCTTTTCCTAGGTGAGTTTGCAAACCCTGAAGGAACAGACTAACAAAACAACTCCCATCGAACACCAGCATTGGAATGCCCTTCAAGTACTATTTAACATTGATACCAAGGGTGGCAATGTATTTCACTATTCTCCAACAATTCAAGTTTGCATTCTGTCTCTCATACTCCTTATTGACCAAAAAATAGACGGATTTAGGAAATAAAGTACCAATATGCCCTATGTCACTTTATAGCTGTTTCTCTTCATTTCCCACAGCCACGAAGTAAGTCTCATGGCCGCAGGTTACCTATCATTTTAATTTTTGTTTCTAGGAGTGCTTGTGTTGGGGTTTTTCCCCTTAATGAGACATCCTTGCCAAGCAGGCATTCACAAGGCATTTTCTGCTCTTGCAGAGGAGTAATTAGGTCGGTGCCTTGTTCCATGCCAGTGTCAGGCACTCCAAAAAGCAGCCCTGCCCAGTCGTTAATGCTTAAACATAAGCAGCGGCATCTCCACTAATTGGTCTTGATGAAGCACTGACGTTCCCAAAGGAACTCTTTATTTCACCAGGCTCGGGAACTGATTGACACAGGATGACAATATCATCCTTGCTGATCATCTGCATTGTAGGCCTTGGCTGTCTTCTTTGTTGTTATTTATTGAAAGAAAAAATAGCTCTTGGAAAAGAAAATCAATGCAATGAGAAAACAAACAAAAAACCCCATGTATTCAGCCAAACCACTTTTGAAATCTTACACAAAGGCCGGCAAAATATAAATTCTGAGAAACAAACTAGCAAAATTCCCCTCACACGCGATCCAGCATTTCTGTAATCACGTACTTATGTGCATGAATATTTGGGCATTCGGTGCCAGCCTTCTGGATGAGGTGGAAACCGGGGCAGCGCGCAGGCACCCCCTACCACGCAGTCTGCATGGGACACACAAGGTAGGCCAACCAAATCTGAGAGCCAGCCTGGCCATCAGCAAGAGCAAGCACCAGCCTGACACCAAAGCAGTGACTTGCATCATTTGTGCAAATTTTGTGTTTGCTTGGCAGTTTTGGTACTGCATCTCTTTCTCCGAGTCTGCACGCAGAGTGAAAAGGGAACAAGGTTGCTGATGCTTTAACACGCAGACTGCAAAATGAAGGAGACTTAGGAGTGGGAAAGAAAGCCCTATTCATAAACTACAGGCTAGAAATAGCACATACTGCTAACTTTGTTGTACATTCTCCATGAGGACTAGGAAAGGTCCTACAGACAAAACATCACCTCCTCATTTACCTTCTCTTTTTTCTCATTTTGCTTTTATCAGCTTTAGCATAACCCTCCTGGGATCCTGTGCACTGGAATACAGCTTTCATTCCCTGCATGAGGGATTTTCAAAGATTTTGGCAGACTCATCAGGCTGTGTCAACCCCCTAAAGAAAATAGGTGTTGCCAGACAATTAGCAGTCTGTGATATTAGCCATTTAAATATGGACATGCTGTGTTTGGGACTGCAGTCCAGCAATTGGTAATGAACTGAATCCCTGGAGCTTTTTGGTCCTTTTCAAATTCTCTGCTTTGATTTGATTTGATCCCATTCAGCTAAATATAGCCTCTGAACAGCCCGATATTTCTCAGTGTTTCATCCAAATTATAATCAGACTCTGGCTGGAGAATTATACAAAATTTTTTTTGTTGTTGTTG